ATTTATGCAACAGCTGGTTGGACTTTAATTGATCAAGCAGAGACAGCTGAAATTTAGTCCTCTGATATTTTTTTTGCTTACTTTTCACTGTTTGTATCACTCCACTTGTGTTTGCACATTCCTGACAGACTGTTACATTTAGTGATGGCGAGTTTTTCTGCAGGTTACATCATACACCAGCAGATGGCGACAATTGACGCTTTATTAGTGACTTAATGAATCATTCACTGACTCACTGGGAGTTGTTCAAAAACACTTCTGAAATCGCATAAAAAAAATACTTACTTCACTAGTGCCAAAAAGTATGTTATATATAGTGTGAATGTAATCCAGACTTAAAAATTTTGCCACGTCCTCATTGTTAGTTGTCCCTTCACTGCTATTCACTAATCCTCTCCCATGGCCTTATGGGATTGTAAAGTGTCCACCATATGCACACTTCAGTTCGTTCAGACAAAAAAAAATAAAAAAATCTGATCATTTAGTAATGTCACTACTCTAAAATGTGCAACATTTACAAAACTGTGGCTTCGTTTTGGAGCAAAAATAGAGCAAAAATATATACAGTAAATGTTGTTTGAGTTCCTAATAAGTTCTGGAATATCCCATAGCGAGCGGATCTTTCTCAGCTACTGTCAGAGGCAGAGAATTTCACGCTCTTCGTGCCATCGGCTCAAGCCACAGAGAAACTAAATAAAGAAGACAAGGACTTCTGGATGACCCGCAGTAATCTTCCTAGTCTTGTAAAGTAAGCTAATTTGTCATTTTGTCAATATTTTTGGTAGCCTAACAATTAATGCTTATTATGCTTAATGCTTAATGTTTCAACTTCTTTACTTTAATACAATTTGCTGTGTTTTTTTTTCTCACAGAAATCACATAGTTTCTGGGATATTTTCTCTAAACGATATTTCTACCTCCCCATCCCCACGACTGATTTCCCTTTTGAAAAGAACACTTCCTGTTTACACAACCATTAATGTGAGGGCGAAACATCTTATGTTTACCATTAGTCCCAGTGCAATTTTGTCTGTCTTTGAACTTTGCTATGAGATTTTGTTTATCATTCTCTCTTTTTATCCAGACAACCAATGTTGCAGGAGGAATTATAACTTTTGGAGATATGGCAGCAAAGAATGGAGTTATACATCTTATTGACAAAGTAAGCCTAGACTCTTTCAATTTTGTTCTCAAATAAAAACATGTACAACTTTGGTTGTCATTTACTTCCTATTATGCAAAAGGTGTGTGGTTTCACATTTGTATCCTAAATTTAAAATAATGGACTTGCAGAATGGACAAATGCAGAATAAATACATATGCAGAGATTGAAGAAATGTGCCTCTGTTGTCCTCTCCAGGTGTTGATTCCTGAGCGACAGATGAGTGAAGGTTTACTGGAGGTGTTGAGTCAGAGGTCTGATCTCTCTCTCTACCGCAGCGCTCTCTTGGTGAGTGTCCAGTCTTGTAGGCCTGCCGCACCTCAAATGACAATAACCGTACTCTGCATATAGCTTGGACTGTTGTGAATTGTTTGTTTTTTTGCCAGAAACACAACCTGACTAACGAAATGGAGGAGTCTACGGGCTATACTGTGTTTGCTCCGACAGACAGTGCAATCCAAGAATACCTCAGAAAAACGGGCAAGGAGTCACTGGTATCATATAACCACCAAGGCTTTGTATATTCGTGTGTTTGTATTACAAATATAGTATCTCATTCTTGTGTGTGTGTGTGTTTATTCCCAGGGGTTAAACTTGACCCAGTATCACATTATACTGAATGAGACTCTAAAAGATGGAGATTTGGTGGATGGACTGTATAAAGATACTATGCTTGGCTTCTCGTACCAACTGGGATTTTTCCGGCAAGATAAGAAAGTAAGTAATGGGTAAATTAATACAAGTTAAAAGATGGAGATTTGGTGGATGGACTGTATAAAGATACTATGCTTGGCTTCTCATACCAATTGGGAATTTTTTTAGCAAGATAAGAAAGTAAGTATAATGGGTAAATTATTTTAAGTCAACCTGGTACAGTATATTAAATGCTCAGTCATGGATATATAATGGATTTCTCTGTCATAGTTGCTTGTAAATGAGGCTGAGGTGAACGTGACCGATATAGAGACCAGTAAAGGGGTAATCCACACAGTGTCTGCTGTCCTGAACATCCCCAACAACCGCTGTGACAGAGCTACCTCCAAAATATTTATGGTGCAATATATCTCTTTAGCCTGGTCATTTTCTTCTTTAGCCTTTAAATATCCATTTTAAATATGTATATTGTGTCTGTAGGGACGCTGCATGGACTGTTTCCACCCAACTGAGAACCCTTGCCCTTCAGGAACAAAAAGACTGGTGTGTGCACACATAAAGTGGTCTCAAAAATGTTTGTCAAGATTTCATTTTAAGATATGGTTATTTTCACGATTTTACTCCAAAAATATATATAAAATCTGTTATTTTTCAAAAATGCATTTATATTGTCTGATATCAATTTAATTGGCTGAGACATTCATACAAATTGGTACAGTTCTTCACTAATAAATTAATTGAATCTGATTTTATTTGATCGATTGTAATCTTTATGTGAAATATTGATATTTTAAAAATGAAAATTACTTTCAAGTAACTTCTCTTTTATAGATTTAGCAAAGCGGGGTTGGGTAAAAATAATGTTTCCTATTAATTGTTTATCCTCAGATGAGGCCAAAGAGAAGATGCATGTACACTCGAGTATATCATGAAGAGACACTGCTGACCATTGGATGTAAAGTTTTTTGTGAGAACGTCAACATTGTATGTACATTATACATTCTCTTTTCACATTTATTCTTGCATTATTCATAAGCGGCAGGAGGTTTATGGAGTTTCAGAATGGAAGAAATGTAGTAGGGTTTCAGTATGATATCACTGTTTCTCTCTGTTTGCAGGAAAGGAAGTGTTGTGAAGGGTATTATGGTATCAACTGCGAGAAGTGTCCAGGCTCAGAAGGTCAGCCCTGCTTTGGCAATGGTGTGTGTGTAGACGGGATCAACGGCACAGGGGTCTGTCAGTGCAACCAGGGTTTTAACGGCACTGCATGCGAATCTTGCCAAGCTGGCAAATATGGAATTCACTGTGATCAAGGTATCAGAGATTTAAAAGCTTATACTGCATACTCTGTGAACAGTTATCTCATACAATATGCACTATCTTTCTGTTTAGAGTGTAAGTGTGTCAACGGACGCTGCAAAGACAATGTGGATGGAGACGGCAGCTGTGACTGTGATCTGGGCTGGAGAGGAATAAACTGTGCCACTGGTATGATTCTCACCTGTTGCAGTATTCACTGGCTCAACGTATTTGGATGCCTCACCATAGTATATAAATATATTGCAAATAAAAATTAAGACGTGTTAACTATTTTCCAGCCATTACATCGGATATGTGCGCAGGAAAGTGCCACAGCAGTGCAAAGTAAGTTTGCTTTCAAAATACCCACTACCAAACAGGAAGCATGTTGAAACCATATTATTAGTTTGAAGTACTTTGGAATAACATGTACATACCATAGTGTATACACTACCATCTGTATCAAAAGCATTCTTGGGTAAATCTCATGAAGTCTATGGATAACATGTCATATCAAAACTGGATATTTGACAATTGAAAACATTTGACGTATCAAAAAAATTCTCAAAAAATGTGTTAGTCTTAAAGAGATACTCCACTTTTTTTGGAAATAGGCTTATTTTACAACTCCCTCAGAGTTAAACAGTTGAGGTTTACTGTTTTCGAATCCATTCAGCCGATTTTCTGACAACTCTCTGGGAGAGTTGTAAAATGAGCCTATTTCCAAAAAAAAAGTGGAGTATCCCTTTAAAAATAAGCATTATTGTGAAATATTTAAATTTAAAATAACTTTTCTGTTTGATTATCTTTTAAATTGTAATTTATTCTTGTGATATCAAAGTTGAATTTACTTTCAATCATGATAATTTCAGAAATCTTTCAAATATGCTAATATTTATCACATATTATTTGTTTGGAATGGGAATCTTTGAACATTGCAACAATGTTTAAGTCTTTGTTAAGTCTGTCACCAGACTTTTGCAATTTGGGGTGAAATGTGACCACTTTGACAAAACAAAAACAATATTCACTCTGCAGACATAAACTTGAGCTTTTTTCCTTTTAAAATTGTTTCAGCCAACTTTGAGGAATCTTTACAATTAGCAACAAGTGCACCCTCTAATTGAGGGAGTGGTTTGAAATTAGTCAAATTGGTATTTGAAAAACTTGTTTTTCTAGACCTGTTTCAGAAGAGGTGTGCACCTGTTGCCAATTTTCCTCATCTACAGTTGAGCACTTTTTAATGGTTTGTGAAATGTCCCCCCCACGTTTTGACCAATACATTCAATGGTCTTTAAATATTGTATTTACATTCAGCTTGAATTGACTTGTGTTTGATGCATGTTGTAGCTGCTTGCTGAACCTAGTGGACAACACACATTACTGTAGTTGTGCTGCAGGATTTCAGGGCAATGGCACATATTGTACAGGTAAACATCTCAAGAACCCTTCAAATACTTAACTGTCATAGCCAATGATTTAAAATGTTGATATAATATATGGTGTTATTTCCAACAAGCGGTGGATGCATGTGCAGACAAAAATGGTGGTTGTTCTGTCCATGCCGTGTGCAAGCGTACTGTCCCAGGACTGAGAACGTGTCTGTGCCACCCTGGTTATGCAGGCGATGGAAAAGTATGCATTTGTAAGTGTGTGTTTAATACTCAATTTTTAGACTAATGTACTCACAACAGCACTGTCCTAGCTTTAGATGTCCAGGAAACAAAATATATTGTGAAAGTACTGTTGTGCATTTCAGCAGAAAAGGTAAACAATTGTATTTGTGTGTGTGTCTGAAGCTATCAATCCATGTCTGGATGGTAATAATGGGGGATGCCATGCAGATGGTGACTGCGTACATACAGGCCCTAATAAGGTAGGCTAAGATACAAGTCCACTTAAGCTAGCAAACAAACAATCAAATACAATTGTATAAATGAATCTCACAAACCCATGTCTACAACCAATTTCACTCAAATACAAAAAAAAAACCCTGCCCCTTGGAGGCCACAAATGTTGAATAGTTGAGCATTCACAGTCATACATGCAATTTAAATGTCTTGATTAAAGCCAGCACAACATATATACTACCATACTGTATAAACGTTATACATAAAAATCCCTTTAGGAGACAGAAAATTAACAGTAGCATCACATCTGTGGAAGACAAGATGACTGAAATATCAGGGGGGTTTGTATGTATACAATAGAAGTCAATGTGCACAAGTGTTTGTTTTCCCACACTTCTAAATATCTTGTGTTCCAGGTTTGAGGAGTAAATGAGAAAAAGTTAATGTTTGGGTGAAGATTCAATGGTTTGACTTCATTCAGCTTAAAGTAATGGCTTCCATAATGTATATACAATACATTTTCATCAGTTTATTGCATTAGTGAAGAGAACTGGACAAAGTCTGCATTAACATAAAAGAGGCAAAAAAGGATATGTATGACAAGACATTAAACATTTGATTTTGGAACGTAGAATGGCCTGGATATGATTGACAGACTAACCCTTAGAATAACTTTGAATTGATGCAGAGATTATTTCTTTCCCCCCCCTCTTCCAGTCAGCATGCTACTGCAAACTTGGCTTTTCAGGGAATGGAAAGCAATGTGAAGCCATCGACGTCTGTAAAGAGGTACATATGACTATATTAATTCTCAACTGGTTTCACTGCACAACCTTAAACGCCAATCATCTTTTAAATCAAATGATTTAATCTATCATTGGTTACTAAAGGTTTAGGTATGTCAATGGTTTGACTAGAACAGGCCCACTTCTACATTAATTTCAGAGTCAGAACCCACCAGTTGACAACCACTGTATTACATAAACTTGACATTGAGGCAGCTTAGCATGAATAACAATGACAAAATAAAATGACAATTACTTGTTTTGTCAGAAAAATGGAGGATGCCACAAGTATGCCGACTGTACCATGACAGGACCCCTGGAGAGGAACTGCACTTGTAGGCTTGGCTTTATTGGCGATGGAGAGAGTTGCAAAGGGACCCTGCAGAAGGTTAGAAGTACAGAAAATAAACAGGCACACAAGTGAAAATACCTTAACAGTCAGTGCAACTAATTTTTCTTTTTAGGAAATCCGAAACAGAAATTTAGGAGAATTTTACATGGGATTGGTGGTAAGTTGAATTTAAGTTTACACAATCTTGTTTTTTACCTTGAGATTGTGATCTGACAGGATTCTTTTTATTTTATTTTTTACAGAGAAATAATGTACCTGAACTCGGAAGTCGTGGCCCTTTCACAGTCTTTGTACCCAATTCAGAAGCTTACGCTTTACCACAGGTAAGACTGAGTGCTGCAATATAATGGCAAGAAAGTTAGTGAACCCTGTGAAAGTCTGATTTCTGCATTGATCACTCAAATGTGGTCTGATTCCAGTAAGTTCAAGACAAACACAATCTCACTTAACTTACGCATAAACAGTACTCTAAAGACGTTGACAGGCTGGAAAGTGTTACTTCACCAAAAGCTAAGTGGATTCAATTAACCCTTCAAGGTCTTAAGGGTTTTAAGTCCACCTGGCACTATGTTGATATTTTGGCTTCTGGGATGGTATATTTTCATAGCAGAGTAAGTAAAGACACATATTTCTGGATTCTATAGAGTCTCATCTACAATGTGGATGCATTGACAATACACTTTTTGAGACAATTATGTGTGTTATGCGATATATCACCAAGAAATACAAAATCAGAATTTTTTTTTGTTTTGTTTTATTATATGTACACTGCTCAAAATATAGTATAATATAGCATAACAATTTACTATGGGTCTGGCAACTTAACCAAGTGGCTTAAATATAGCTTATTTAATTAGGGGATAGTTGAACAGATGATAATTTAACGAATTTCAGTAACCAGATAGTCATCAGCCGTTTTGACACCATTGACTTCCATAGTTGGAAAAAAATACTATGGAAGTCAGTGGGTGTCATCAACTGTCTGGTTACCACAATTAGTCAAAATGTCAACAGAAAAACTCATAGGTTTGAAAACTTAGTTTTTAATGACAAAGTTTGTAAGTAATGACAATTTTTATTTTTGGGTGAACTATCCCTTTAAAGGGATAGTTCACACCTTCCAAAAATATTTCAATAATTTACTCACCCTTGTGCCAATCCAAACCTGTATCTGTATGACTTCTGCGAAGCACAAAATATATTTTTAAAGCACACTTAGAACCAAACATCATTGGAGCCATCTCTGGGGAAAAGTAAAGCAAAAACATGTCAATCTTTTGTCTCACAAAGGAAAAAAACTGCAATAGTTTTGGAACCAGCTATGAGTCTGAGCCACTATTATATGACATTAAAAAGGCCAAAGCTTACCATTAGCAAATGCAGGATATCACAAGCTAAAAGGGATGACAAATTACCTCCTTGAAACAAAAACAGGGGGGAAAAAATGGATTCAAACCTTTTAAAATAGAGAGGAAAAAAAATGGATTCAACCTTTTAAACACACTGCCGTGAACCATTTTACAGTAAATGCCTGAAGCTTGTTATTTAAATAGTAGCAGTATCAGGTGCATGCGTGCTCATTGGCTGAAAAATCAAACGCCTTTTAGCTAGTTTGCACAGGATGCAAGCTCATTGGCTGACAATTGACATGCCTATTAGCTCATTTGCAAAGGATGCAAGCTGATAGGCTGGCAGATGACCTATCAGCTTGTACCATGACTGCCTGGAAGATTATACGTCATCAAGTGCAATGTGATTCAACATTCATAAAGTTTTATGGAAACAAATGCTCCAAAGAATATGTCTAGAAAAATCAAATGAGATTGTCACTGAGACAAACTCAAGAAGAGCAAAAAAAAATATATGGTTAATTGTCATTTAAAAAAAAAAAGTCCCAATTCTCTTAAAATTCCTTTGGAATTTAAACTTCAATTTGACCTGGTCATGGACAGGTTCTATGTGATTTACTTAAATGGCCGTTGACTGTACATGATATCTGTCTCTTAATAATTGTCAAGAATAGTAAGATGATATTGTGATTTGATAGTGGGTTTCTAACGTTACTGATTAGTCCTGCTTTTATTTAGATGACAGATATTGGAAAGAGGACACGCTCTGAAAACTCCAAAATCCTGAGGTACCACATAGTGGCCTGCCGTGCCCTCCTGCCAGAAGACCTCATGCAGCCTCGTAACCTGACCACACTTACTGGTGACATCCTCACCATTACGTACTCAGAGGTACAGTTTACCTGATGCACACTCAGTATGATGACTGCATAAGATATATATTGAATTCATTATTTGTATCCAGGATACGATTTACATTAATAACAAAGCCAAGGTGGTGTTCAGTGATCTCGAGAGTAGCAACGGGATTTTCCATGAGATTGATAGTGTCCTAGTGCCTCCCAGTTTCCAGATTCAGAAAGACAGGGATCAAGACAGCTCACCGGTATGTCCCCACATGAATAACTCTGACAATATTCATAATTCATTTTATGATTCATGCCAGTGGTAATAAAGCAAGCATAAAATAATGAAATAACAATGATAGATTTTTATTGTCATTTTCCTTTTTTTTTTCCTGAAAGCGTAACCTCTCAGAAGTGGTCAATATCCATGGCTTCAAGACATTTTACAAGCTTCTCGAGGTAAAATAAGCACAAATATTTGTAACTTTTACCTTTTAATAACATTTTCTAATAACTATTCTAAAGGCTATCCAGTCTACACAAAATTTGGCTAAAGTTCTTATCATTTGTATGCCTTTTTTGGAATATTATATTACACGAATTGTTATTTTTTTAGAAGAACCCTATTTTCTAATGAAATCCACCAACGTTTTATATAAAGCTTTGTTTGTTTAAAGGACACAGATACATTGAAGTTGGTGATGGACCCAATGCATCAGCCTGTCACCCTGTTCATGCCCACGGACACCGTAATGGCCGCCCTGGCCCAAGAGCAGAAAGATTTCCTGTATGCGATGCATAACCGTGATCAACTTGCTGAGTATCTTAGATACCACATCCTGCATGACACCAAGGTTGGTCTCCAGTGTATTTAATTTTTTTGGCAAGAATAACTCAACATTACAGGAAATTCAGTGTTGACTCACTAATGCATAAATGTATTCCAATGTATTGTGTGTCCACTAGCTCCTGCCTGCACAACTCATCTATGCCAGCTCTTTAAAAACACTACAGGGCTCAGATCTGTCAGTGGCCTGCATGGGGGAAGAGCATATCGTGAGTACCTTTTGAGATAAAAAGATTTGTCTTGGGTATTCACATATCTATTTCAGTTTATTTATTTTAACCATGCATCATGTTATGCATATTTATCATTCAGGGGGAGCTTTATGTGAATGATAAAAGCTGTCGGATTGTAAAGAGAAACCTTGATTTCAACGGAGGCATGATTTATGGCATTAACTGTCTGCTGAACCCTCCAAGCCTTGGGGGGCGCTGTGATTATAAGCACACACTTGATTTCACTGTGAGTCCTAAGTTCTAATATTTACTGTTTACATTGAACAACATCGGCTGCATTTAACTCCACTTTTAGACATGCACTTGCAAACATACAGAGCCCGGAGATGCATGAAGATATGTTTGCAGCCGACACTGATTTAGAAAACACTAGTTTATTAATAAACAATTAAAGAGCCTAGACACATTTATTATCATTAGCCTAATTTTTTCTGGTGCTTTGCAGATAGATTTGTGCATGCTTGAATAGGCTTTATTCCTCCATGCACCCAGTATTTATTTCATATAGGCTAACTTAGTCAACTAATTGCTTAAATAAATGACTACTAGTCAACTAGAAAAATCTTTAGCCTATGGCAACTCTAATCAATACATTTAGTTGACATTATTTACTTATTATTTATTCGATATTAGTAATTAGTATCCAGCTCTTTACATTTAATTTGAGTTAACATTATAGGTTAACAAATAAAATAATAAAATAAAGATTAAATTAAGATGATAACCAAATATTTCTAGCATTGCTTGTTGCTACACACAAAGAACTGTTTTTAAGGTGAGAATCCTTTATACATGTGAAGATTGTACTGTGTATCGGCTCCATAGCGGATTCCAAGTGATAAAGGGCATCAAGGCGTTACATTAAACACATTGCTAGAGTTCCGCCAGTAGTGGTCACTCTTGCATCGTGAGCAATGACATAAATGAGTGATCGAGATGTAGGAAAGTTAACAAGGGAGAGCATAACCGGACTTAAACGCAGCCATCTTAGTGCATTGTATGATTTTCATAATATGTACTGTGCTATTAGTATCAATGCTAAAGTGATCAATTCAAATCAATCTACCTTTCTTCTTTTTGGTTTCTTGAAAAACATTGTGCATTTTTTTTTAGTTGGCTTGCAGGTATTGTGGTCGCCAAGTGTCGGATTGCCCGCTTGGAAGCAAGCCAAAGGTAATTTTCATCTTCATCTGAAGCTAGTATTTTAGTATATAGTAGTATATAGTATATTAATATATAGTATATTATTATTAGCTTCATCTGAAGCTAATATTAAGAATTTGTTTACCATAATGGTAAACCATAATTTACCATATACAGTATCTAGTCAGCTGTCATGAATTTATTGTAAAACTCTACTAAAATAGGGTTAAAGAGCATTTTTTCCTCCATTGATATATTTCCTATTTAGGAAGTTAGAGCTATCCCACATATTTAAGGGCTAGTCCCTTGTTTTTTGTTTTTTTTTTAATAGCCAAGTTTTGTCACAAGTTTTGTACTGTATGATCTATGATTTTCTACTATCGGACACAGGTGGAATTGGGGGACGGAAAATATATATATATTTTTTTTTTTACACAATGTTTACAATGTTACAAAATATTTCTGCATCAAATAAATGCTGATATTTTGGACTGTCTATTAATCATTAAACATTACCCATTTCAATTGTGCTTTCAATCTAGGGAGAACAAAAGTGTGTCCTTCCAGATTTGATGTCCAGGTATCCAGGATGTCAGTCAAGGTGTAGTATAGTCGTATGGAAGCCTAAATGCTGTTCAGGGTACTACGGCAGAGACTGTCTTGGTAAGCAGTGTCTCGCTGTACTATTCACCGCAAACTGTTGTCATTTATCAAGTTCAAACTATTGATAAAAAAACAGTTATTTTGCCAGTTGATGAGTTGATTATCCTGTTCTCCAGCATGTCCTGGGGGTCCAGGATCCCCTTGCAGTAACCATGGCAAGTGTGACGAGGATCATTTAGGCAATGGCACCTGCACTTGCGATGCTGGATTTATTGGTGTAGCCTGTGAACTTTGTGTGGATGGCCATTTTGGACCAGATTGCAAAGGTAATCTTTTTCAAAATAATTGTATATGTGTGTATGCATGTATGTATAGTTGGTTTATTTCCTCTCTTCCTTAGCCTGCAACTGCACAGAACATGGGTCATGTGATGAGGGTCCTAAAGGTACCGGTTCATGTTTTTGTGAAGAGGGCTGGACTGGTCCCGAGTGCGAGAACAAATTAGGTACGGACCTTCTCATTACTCTTTTTATATTTATAACTGACTACAGAAAGACAAGCATTACTTTATACTGGTAAGTCCAGTTCACACTGTATGTATTTCTGATGTTACAGCTGATGGTCCTGTTTGCAATCCGGCTTGCCATGAGAAGGGCGTCTGCATGGAGAATAATACCTGTATCTGTAAACCCTTCTATGAAGGAGATGGTATCACCTGTACAGGTACATACACGACGATCTCAATAGCAATAGTAATAGTGATGATAAAACAAGAGTAGAAACTGTCCACTAACTTCTATCTGTTCTGCAGCGGCCGATATGTGCAAATACTGGAACGGCGGCTGTTCCAAGGATGCTAAGTGCAGTCAGAAGGGGGAGAAGGTCAGCTGCACGTGTTTCAAAGGTTACTCCGGCGATGGGTTTGTGTGCACACCCGTCGACCCCTGTGCGGATGGGGAAAATGGCGGGTGTCACGAACACGCTATCTGCACCATGACCGGAGCTGTAAGCAGAACTTTCTCTTTCATTGTAGAATGTGGTCTTTATAAGTGGGGTCCAATCATCCATAAGCATATCTAATGCGTGTTGGTCACTAGGGCAAGAGGAAATGTGAGTGCAAACAAAACTACATCGGCGATGGGACTGATTGCGAAGCAAAGGTGTTACCAGTCAATCGTTGTCTGCAAGATAACGGACAGTGCAATTCAAATGCTCAGTGCACGGACCTGCACTATGAAGGTGTGTATAACTCCCACTTTTATAAAAGTTCCTTTATTTTTCCTTTAAAAAAAATATTTCTATTGTAATATATTTAAAAAAGTAATTAATTAATGTGATGTCAAAGCTTAATTTTCAGCATCATTGCTCCAGTCTTCAGTGTCACATGACCCCTTAGGAATCATTCTACTATGCTGATTTGGTTATATTAGTATTAATAATATCATTTTTGCTGCTTGATATTTCTGTGGAACCTGTGATTCACTACCATTCACAAGTGAAATGGCGTGTGTATGACACGCCAATTTGTATTTCCATTTTTGGCGTGCTATCAACACGCACAATCGCTTTTCAGCGTGTTTATGAACGCCGTTGACTATGTTACATTACTGTATATAATTACTGTATATATAAATATATGACCTACCCCGTCCTTAAACCTACCCGTCACTGGGGTTAATGCCATTTATGAGTCTTCCCCCACCATCCTTGGAAAAAAAATATCGCTTCCTAGATGTAGATCTATATTTTGCTTCGTTTCGCTCGGACATTTAATGGCGTGTACACACGCGGAATCACTCTGACATTTAACGGCGTAGACATACACGCATACACGCGGATAGCTCAAAGTGCGTATAGATAACACGCCACTTGACTTGAAAGTGACGTGTATGTTTACGCAAAAGTCATGTTGCGGTAAGTGTTTTTTTTTTAGTTTGTTTTAAAGAAATTAAAGCTGGAGTCTGCAAGATTTTTTTTTATTATATTCACTGAAACCGACTCTATGCTCCAACAGAAGAACAATCAAATAAAAATCAATATCAAATAAATGCT